TGAACTAAATTCATCTGGACCCATTGACCGGGCTCTATAACAAAGGACTGAGCTGACTCTATTTCATGAGAAGCTTTGGCTCTGTCAGGGTGCAGAGGTCACACCATTTTATGAAGTTGCTGTGAGAAATATACTGAATATATACTGTATATATTGTCTATATACATACTGCTTTACTGTATCTTTTTCACACAGTTCTTTTACTCTTAATCTGTATGGATTTCATGAATATTCCTTGTCTATAGAATATTTCCCTTATGCCCTGCTTGGCTTCAATTCAGACGTAAAGTCGAACTATAAAAATGTATCCTTATCTAAAAAATAAAGAAGACAGAGACACAGGTAGCATTTATGAATCTTATTATTCAACAATAGTCACAATACGACATCAACAATGCTTTGCTAGTGACAGGTCTAATAATCCCAATATATTGTATAGTTACTTTGTAATACATTATCGAGAGGCACTTCCAGTAAGTCTGGCAATAGAGGAGCTACAGTATTGTGTCTAAATTACAAAACAGTAAAAATAAATATTTTTCTAAAATTTTTTGTCATTATATACCTTTGAATCTGTACAGTATGTATCTTTATACAAAGTCAAACAATATCTAGAAATAAAATGTCATATTCCACTTAAATACTGGTGAATCACACAATTTCCCCCATCCTGTAGGTATTGCTACATATGTTAAGTGCAAGATACTAGAGAGAAGAAAATAATTGAGTCAGTGAAGTGCCTGCAGTTGTAGATAAAAACATCCAGCCGTGTTTGTCTTTTTTTTCAAAAGTCGGTGGTAAAACAAATTTGTTTTGGTTTTCTTTTGTGACAAACAAAGAAAGCAGAAGAGCGAAGCAGTCAAACAATGCGTACGTACATATCTGTGGAAAATGCAATGGCACAGGAGCATAGGCCCGTTTTAAATGGTCTGAAACGGCAAGCAGTACAAAATAGAAATGTTTTTGGTTTGTAAGGGCTTCAGTCTCATAGATCAGAACAGTTGGTGAGTTACATTGTACTGACGTGGCAGTGAAAGATTAATTCAAAGTGGAAAGGTTGAACATTGCTATGAGCTGCAGTCTTGATGAGTTCTAATGGTTCTTAATTTGCTTTATTCTGTCTGATTCTCACTTGAAATCAAGATATATGCATGTCCTGAAATCCTTGCCACATTCTGAATGACATTGACAGAATCATTTTGGGCTCAGTTTGTGCAAATCTTCAGAAAGTTGAAAACCTTTCTTTTGTTTGCACAAGTTATTCCAGTGTGCAACAACTTCCAACAAGCTGCACTCATGCTCACTATCACACAGATTACCCATCATGACCAAAAAGAACAACAACTAATTCCCCTATTAGATTTAACATTTTAAGGTGAGACATGACAGGCAAAAAAGTCTAACTTATAAATGAATATGACCAATACTTCCATGAAGCATTTCTTGAGGCTGAATTTTGACATTTAAAATATGTATGACTAAATTAGGTAGCATCAAATCAAATGTGCTCATTTGATTTTCTATATTGGACAGCTGAACACTGGATTAAGACGGGTTGAAAATTCTTTCATCATCTGGTTCATGTAAATGGTACGGAGTGGACTTTTGAACCCATTAAAGACTTCGGTAGGTTGAAAAATTCATTTTCAGCTTCTTGAAAATCAAGGATAGATTCTTCCTCTAGATGGCCTGGTATAGTAGTGAACAAGTGGACAAACCAAACAGGTTAATTCCATCTTAATTTCTTTGCCAAATTAAAAAAAACAAAAAATAGACTAAACAATTCTATACCATTAAGTCCGCTTTTATAAATGTGCAACACAAAATCTGCACCTGAGAAGCTAAAAGATTTGAAAATTACGTCAAAGCTAAAAATAAATAAATTGACAAGTAAACATTAAAACTTCCTAAAAAGTTACGCAAATCAAGGCCATGATAAATTTGGGGATCTTTTTTTTCCAACTATGCATTCACATAAATCACCGTGATGGAGTTATTCTAAGAGAGAAGACATCCCATCAAACATAATCATTGTGGCAGTAATGAACATGAGTGTTGGGCTGGTATTAAGACCCCAGCAGAAACAAAATCAACAGCAGGTGTATCATAGATGGCTCCTTAAACAGCATATGACAAAGATACATCTCAAACACGTGGAAACGTAATATTAGGACCTGGGAGTTTCACTCAAAAACGTTTTTCTAATATTTTATTTGTGCTTGCCTTGTGGCCCAAGCATGCGTTTGCCCCTATACTTCCCCTGGTGATCACCTACATAAATGACCTGTTGATTTTTGAGGATGTGCACAAAAATCTCTCCAAGCAGACGCACAATATACAAGAGAGCAGTCGTATGGTCAGAGACACGGATTCAAAAGCGAGTATATCTTTGGCCTGGCAAGCATGCAATGAAATTAATCCCCCCGAATCGGATCATAGCTTTGATTTCTTCAAGTCTCTTTGATTGTGTTGCGCTGAAGTGCACACAGTTAGAGGCTGCAAAGAGAGAAAAGAGAAATCTGTTTTGACTGGCTTCATCCCAAATGAGCTTCCAACTCTTAGATCATGTAAAATTCAAGCGCAGACTATAGAGAGAGTCTGGAATACTGCCCAAACGATGCTGACAAGCATGAAGTAGAACAAGTGTGAGAAATGAAAAAGCCATTGTAATTCCATTAGATGCACTGAAGTAATGACATTACGTATAGTGCCAAAGTTATTTACAGTGAGTGGAGCTCAGACTCATATACTGAAATTCTTGCTTTTTTCCTTCAGTTATGCAACTATTTCTTTTTTACAATAATCTATGTTCCAAAGCTACCTTGTGTTACAGGGTTCCAGGTATGCTAAAACAAAACACTCAGTACTCCAACCTCAGTACTATCATTACATGCCAGTGAAAGGTTAGACCGCTGGAAGACGATGATTCCAGGAGGGGACTTCAAATCCAAATGTGGCTTGTTACATATATACATATTGTTAGAGAGAGTCACATTTAACTTTGGATTTTCATTTCAGTCTGTTACCAATTAGATCTTTCACCAAATACTATAACTGTACAAGACTGAATATTTCTGTTTCTGCTCTTTATGTTGAGGCTCTTTGCTTGTATTTGTTTTATACTGGTGTATGGAGTGTAAATACATTTTTTAAAGTAGTTTATTCTTTTAATGGCTGTAGTACTTATCATTAAAAAATAATTGAAAAAACACAGAAGTGCTTGAAAGGTAAAGTGAAAAGTGAAGTTAACGGTTTCCATTTCGTAACACAACAAACAAACCAATCCGTCTTTTTTAAGTAAAGATAATAAGATTTTAGAATGATGCACAGTTAAGGCATCCATTGCAAAATGGCTTTTTGATGGCAGTGAAATAGATAGAGATGAGGATTTTCTACAGTATCATCACAGTATACGAAATGAGGCCACAGTAATGCTGGGTCTTACCACCAAATATCAGCAAACAAGCCTGTTTTCTTCCAGTCCATGTGAACAATACACGCCACTTTTCTTGACAGCTTGTTTTTTTTTTTTTTCGGTCTCATGCTGCTCCATCTGTATATGTGCGAAGGCGTGTGAATTTCAGCTATTTTATTTTTTTTCATTTTCAATTGCCAGCCAGCAATCCAACCATGACTAGCATGGCTGCAAACTGCCAAAACTAGTGCTCATTTTGGGTCAACTTTTGGCTCATCTTTGAAAGATTTACAACTGCATTGTTTAAAAGTCCCTGCAGAGCTGAAGCAGAATCCATAATATTCCACTGCTTTAAACATCTAATTCCAACGCTTATCTAACCACATCCTTGCTTTGCTTTGCCTAAATCTTCATTTATTCATATCATCAACCTAAAGTCTCAGGCAGCTTTCAGACGAGTGCAAAAGGAGTTCATATGTATCGTATCTGATGAAAACTAACAGCAGCAGCTCGATAAGTAAAGACGCTAAGCTACCCGCAATACTCAGATTCAAATTGCAGAGCGTTCCTGTTGCTTTTTCGATGAAAAATACAGCATGATGCATGTCTCTAATATGTTTTGCATTGTGGGAAACGAATCATCACATGATTTCGATTTCAACCACACTGGCTCATCTTCAAAGAGTTCCATATGGAAGAATCTGCTGCGTTGTGACAAAGATCTGAGACCCCTTGTACCCTTCATAAGCAGCTACATTGAAAGACAAAAGACTCCTCCCTCACGCGCCCCTCTCTTTCATTACTAAGCCTCATTACTAAGGCTGTTCTCCTTGTTCACATTGTCCTCCATCACCACCAATTTGAATCTCTCAAGACATCAAAGGAGAGCACGGTCACCGCCTATTAAGCCATATTCTGTGTCATAAAATAGGACTAAAAATAGCGGCCTGTTATCAGAAACCATTTCTTGGAACTCTACCTACTTGACTGCACTTTTTTGGGGAGAAATCATGCAGAGTAAAAGTGCTAGTAACAGCTTTTGACTAAGCTGGTGAGAACGGCTCTGTCAGCTGCTGGGTTGAGTCAAGTGTTAAAACAACTCGCCCAGCTTTTTCCTGTTTGCAGTCATTGAGGACTGACAACACAAAGAAGTGACAGAAAATGTTTTTTACAGTATTACAAACAATTAAAGACCCTAACAACAGCTTTTTAGGGCTATGAATGCTATATCAAATAAACCTTAAAACATCCAACCGTACTTTCATAAATGAATAATGTAATTGTTTCTGCGTTAGCGTTTCATTTTCATTTTGTGGAAATATCGAAGGACTAAGTAATTTCTCTGACTGACAGTTTTCTTGACTGTCATCAGTCTCCACTGAGTAGTAATGTCTTCTCAATCGAAATCTGATCAGTTTACATTCGGAAAAATTTGGCCTAAATACCACCTTTTGAATAATAAAGAAAGAAGAGCATTTTGTGTCACTAGTGGCAGCACTGACTGTGAAGATTAAGCAAATAAGGTATATGAAGACAGTTAGAATTGCAGGACAGAAGATATTTTCTTATTATCAAAAGGTGTGTCTCCTTAAGCTTGTTTTAGTGTAATCAGTAGCATTGTGTGTTTTATCCCATGCCATAGTTGTATGATTGTGCAAAAAAAGCCACAGGGAGTTAGTGGACAGACATCTCAAAAAGCAAAGGGAGTGAAAAAAATAACATTTACAAGATAAATGCACGACACTGGAAGTCCTTTGTGTTTCTGTTTTGCTACAGGCTTCTGCTTTCCTGAGCTGCGTTGCCTTGAAAACTGTTGGTGTGCTGTGCTCACTAAGTAACAAAAGACAGGTGGAAAATGACTGCAAACCTGTTTGACGTGGACAAAATATATTGTTTTGTGTGTTGTTGTTTTTTTTCCTTGAGTGAGAACAAAGGTTCTTGAGCAACAGGGTTCTTTGTTAAGCTTCCTATGTGTGTAGAGGGGGACGTGTGCGGGGTGTGAAGGTTGTGTGGGTATATGTACACTCGGTGCACTCCTTCTGACTTCTTTCTTCCATCCTTTCATATAAACTATATAACTGAGCCTGAGTGGACACAGCTTTTTCCCTGACTTTCCTCCCATTGTCCTCAAGAAGGGGCTTGTTGCACATCCTCGACCAGTTGGGTGGCTCCACAGAGTGTTGAAGCTTGGGAGCAGCAGAAACAGCGGCAAATTGGGACGAAATATTACTGGATCCTCTAGTAAATCTGCGAACGAGTGCTGTTAGCCCAGACAGCAGTATGGGCAAGACACCAGATCCCGACTAAAACAAACATTACATTTAAAAGGAACATTTTCAAACCCTATATTCATTATATTTTTTCTTCTTGTTTTACCCCTCTAGGGTCACTTCTTATTTTGCTCACCTTTTCTCGTGTCAGGCGCACTGGTCATGTGTCAGCCCAGCGCTCAACCCTGTTTTTGTTAGGCACATTTTACCAAAAACATCTTCTACAGTGTTGTGTCAAAGTGATGTGCTGGCTACCATATTTAGTTTACTTGGGAAAGAAACAAACATTTTGAAACAGCATTCAAAATCCTGGTTTTAGAAAAGTTTGCTTTTCAGAATCTCACGCTAGTTCTTGCTAATTTTCTCCTGAAGTTTCTGATTCGGGAAGGATCTCCTCCTCTACGGGCAAAGCTTCTTCCCTTTCATCGAGGTCATCAGCCGATTCCTCCTCTTTGCTTGCTTGCTCCTCTTCCTCCTCTCGGATTGCCGTGATGGGATCGGATGGGCTGCCGATGCAGTTCGGCTTCTCTTCCTGCTCCTCCTCTGGGGTTTCCGCAGCAATCAAACATTTCCACATCTCATGGTTTTCCAAAAGATGCTGCATGATTTGGCAAAACACTTTCCTCCTGCGCACCTTTTTGGTTTCTTGCCGTTCTGTGAGAAAAAAAGCGACAAGTCAAACCTGGTGGCATTCAAAAAATTGAGAAAAACCTCTTAAAGAAACATCAAATTCATTTTGTTAAATGAAATATTCATACACCAGCATCTCATAACATTTTCTTGGAAGCCGTATTTCCCTATCTCCCGTCAAGCAAAGTGTCAGTAATTTCAGTAGTCAGTCAAGTCTCACTGAGGCAGTTATTATTTGTAAAGGCTACATAAAATGTCGGTGAGATGTTTCCTTTAAAAAAAAGGAAAAAAAAAAAATCATTGGTGAACCGGCTGTTTGATTCTGACATACGGGAGGTGTCGGAACCTGTCGATGCCTCCTCATCTGCTGTGTCCTCCTCTTCTGTATCCTGTTCTTCCTTTTCGACTTCCGGTTCCATCTCTCCCTCGGATGGGTCGACCCAGTGTCCCGGCATGAGAGCGGCAGAGTCATAGGAGGAGCATAACGGTCCCACAATGTGAGTGATGAAAGACTCCTGCAGCTTTGCGAGTTGTGGAGCAGACCGATCCATGAAGGGACTGATGGGAAGGCCCAGGTTTGCTTCTTCATCACCCTGTAAACAAAAATGACACCTATGTAAGATGCAATAATTCACACATGACACAAATTAGGTAATTCTGGTAAAACTTAAGGTGGACTCTGTTTCTATCAAAGACTATAATTCAATCTGGACAAACACATTTACAAATATTTACTATGAGTGGCACATGATAGAAAACATCATATAATAATATAATAATATAAAGATAGGATTGCATCCTGAACATAAATCAAATTAAATCTTTTCGGGGTATTGTGGTTAAACTCCATCACTCCGACATCAAAACATAGCTGTCAAGCAGTGAGAGTCCCAGATACTCAGCCTCTGGGTACAGTCTCCTGAAAGTAGGTCAGGAGGACTACAAATAGAAAAACATCAGTGCAGACTACGGTTGATCTCTAGGTATAAGTTAATCAAATAAGACTTTGTGAGGAGATGTGCTGCAGATTACAATTAGCATAATCAGTTTATTTGTACGCACGCGAAGACAACAGGAATATTCTGTCTAATCAGGGGCCATTTGTGACCATCACCCAGTGGGGCACATAAGATTTTAGCCAAAGTGGATCCCCATAGCTCCATTCTTGTCCTTGGAGCAGTTGTAGATTTTGCCTTTTCAATTCTCAGTCCACACTTGGCAAATATTTGGAATCTAATGTGCTCACCGGGGCACAGGTACCTCTGATCGCCTTAAATCAAACCGAGACTGTAACCGTGTTCACTTCCAAAATCTGCCACTCTACTTTCTTGTGTGCACTGCACAACCCACAAACAAAATGGTTGTGTTGCGCCTTCAAATGTTATGACAGCCCAGAATTGTGCTTTTATGTTTTTTTCTTCTGATGTTGGAGCTTTCAAATCCATTCAAAAAGACGACAGAGGGGCAAGAGCTCCAAATTGCTATGGCAACCAAAAACCAGGATGGCGTCAGCATGCGGTACCAGCAGTTATCGTGAGAGAGGTATACGTATGTTGACTCATAGTCTGATTAGACAAGGGGGGGAAAAAATCTAACACTTGGGCACGGCTAATGTGTGTGATGTCAAATTCGTGCATTGCGGAGCATCAAATACTCGAACGTGCGCCAGTCTTCACATCTGTGCTGACCGTGTTGCTCGCGAGAGCCTCGTCTGAGATCTTCTGCAGTGACTGTGAATGAGTGCTGTCAAGGATGGCACATTTAGGTCATCCGTCTCCCCTCCGCAAAAAGGAAACCACACGCAAACCCTCTATCTCTCGAGATCCACACACCCCCCCACACACACACACACACACACCCCGCCCCACCCTGCTGCTAAACTGTGTTTTGATATCTTTGCTACGCAAGTTGCCTTCATTAACGCAGGCTTAACAGACATCCCCTATGCTGATATTCAGTTTACTGATGGTCAAAGTAACCTTGGCTTGACACATTTCTGCTGTAGCCTGTACATGTCGATGCAGATAAAAATTGCTTTTATCTTTAGTCTAATAGTTTCAAAAAGGGACTCCCGTATTTGCCTTGTAGCTGCAAGGCCACTGGTTCTATCTCTTTGGTTGATCAGATTTTCTCTTTATGGTTTTCCTCGGGTAGTTCAGAGTAGGATTTGTTGCCAGGCATCAGTCTTCAATGGTCTATGACAAATACATGAGCTATTAAGGATTTTTATTATTCAAAACGGTTGTAAGGAAACAACCACTAACACAAGGTCTTTCCAACATAAAGCAGAAAACTGTCATACATGGGAGTACATGTTTTACATTTATCCCTGGTCTATGATGGCAGGCAAAAACTTTACAAATAACTAATTTATTTATTTAGGAAATTTATTTAGGAATTTAGGAAAATTCCAGAGATGTCTTTTTACATACATATGTTTTTTTTAAGTCAGGCTCTGTAGTCTTCACGTTTTTATTGCACTCATGCTTCAGGCTAGATGTGAAAACATGTTTGACTAAACCCAGAACAAGCATGAGAGCAAATTATAAATGCAGCTATTTGTTTGATTTTTTCAAAACAAAAATTCTAAATTGCAACATTTGAAAATTTACAACTATTGGTATTTTCTATAATTTGCTAATTCCTTTAATCAACATAAGAAGAGTTAATAGTTTTCTGTATCTGTTTCTGAATATTCTAGGCAGCAAGTAACACTGTTTTGAGAGATTTAAGACATGAGATGCTCCATGTTTTTAATTAATGATGTGTCATGACTCACTACTCTCTACCAGTGCAGACTGCACTGAAAGAATTTTTGACAGGCTTTTAGTCCAGAGGGGTTTGAATGTCTTGATCATAACAAGTGGGGGCTACAGAGCTCTGCTCCACTCAGCAGAGAAACAGAAATCAGCCTGTAAAGCATACTCCTGGTTAATAAACATGTTAGTGCCATTATTTGTAAAGAGCAGAAAGAATGCAGTAATCTGCATGCATAATCTGCAAAAAATCATGATTTATGTATGAGATTCTCTGCTAAAATTTCAAACGGGAGTGCGTCTTGTGGGTGCGTGCCACTGGACAGGCATTGCTCATGTCCACGGGTAATAGACTTCTGATTACCCACAGCTTTGCGGTGCTTCATGTGACTTCAGAGTCTCGCCCCAGTTCACTTGAAACCTCAGCTGAGGCAGCACCATAAAGACTTTACATATACGTGATGCTCCTACAGTAGAAAATCAATTGGAGCAATGGTTTGACCCTTTCAAACTTCAAAGGTTTTGATGAACTTACTTGTTCATAGAACTCATTGACGATCCCCTCTGTCCATTTGAGGTGCAGCTCTTTACACTTGAGCGGTCCGTTGACATCAGCCAGCTTTATGCACATCTGGCACACCAGCAATCTGTCGTTCTCATTGGCCCAGTCAATAACAGACAGTCCCTCATCACCTACCTGATGACAGAATTATATATTAACTTAAATGTCTATTGATTTGAAAAGTCTAGGGAAAAAATATATATTTGATTAGTATTATAAGCTATAAATTCAATAGCCAAGAAAAGATCAGATAAATAATAGTTAATACTTATTATTGATGGGTGGTATATGTAGTTGATGCACATATTTACCTTTGCATTAAACTCTGTAAGGAAGTCAAAGTGCTTTTTGAGGTCAGTGGCCAAGATAGCTTCAATGACAAGGAAGCGGAAGCGTTTGAACTCCACGTGCTCGAGATTAACAAGAAAGTTGTACTCGGGTCGAGACATAAAAAGGTTCCAGGCTGCAGCCGCATGATGGTTTTCCAGGACCGATCTGTCGTTGTACAGGACGGCCTGCGGTGCACTGGTGGCTACCAAAAAAGCGTTGGTTCTTCCAGGGTGATCGTAGTCATGCATGGCAGCAGCCACATACAGCGCCATCAGCTCCAGGCCAGGTATAAGACCTGCAAGGGAGCCATAGCCTTCTTGTTGCACAGAGTTCATTCTGGACACCAGGAACCTTGTTGCTCTGGGTGTAATTCCATTTGTAGAGTCTACGAATAGAGAAAAAGTCATATTCTTAATGTGCCCATCTCTGTATCTATTTCTCTCTATAAAATAAATACATTTAACATATATTGATATGTACATGCATGTGTATAGACAGAGAAATGTACTTAAACTTGGAATGATGCATGAATTTTTTGACTAATAAATTGCTGCATAAGTAAAGCATGTTCATCCTCAATTCTCTGTTTACACACTTTTACTCTTTGAAAGAATGCTTGATTGTGTGTTATGCTTGTGTGTGTCGAATTAGATCGATGTTTTTGCAACTTCGGCCATCTGAGATTGAGATCAAAACATAAGATTTAGATTGAGTAAAACATTAAAAGAAAGAAGAAAAAGAAAAGCAACACTGTGGTTAAATTCTGAGAAATTTCTGCATGAATAAATGATCCGCACCAGTGTGTATTCCATTCTCAGTTACCAGGGTGGGCAGGCCCGGCACAGGCTGAGTGGTGAGATACCAGACAGCATGTAGCACATCAGTAGCATGGATCCGGTTATGATCTGCAAGGGGAGAAATGGAATCCCGGCTTTTATTGGAACAGGCAGAGAGAACACAGTGATGAGATTCAACAGATCTGATTTTGTGGTGGGATGATGCTAGCAACGTGTGTACTGGTCAAACATAACTGCAGAAGTGCAGAACATGTAGCTGCCAGTATATATATATATATATATATATATATATATATATATATATATATATAAATAAACATATTTTTTTGCAATGAGCTCAAACGGCATCACTCTTTTTAAAAAACATTCAAAAACAGAAGGAAAACATTTCAAAGGCATATTTCTAAAAAAACACAAACAAACTACAAAGCATATTTTTTTCAGAGACACAGAAATCTTTAAAGTAAAAAACTAAAACAACACTTTCACTTTCTTGTTTTTCAGAATTCAAAATATGATCAATTTTAGAGCTGTCATGGGTCAAGAGAAGCAATGCAATTTTTCTAGTCACGGTGAATGTTCACAAATTGTAAGATGGGTTTTTAATGCGCTACTTTAAAACTTCCCAAAGATCTAAGAGCAGACCCCCGAGGTATACTTAAAGAAGGCTTCGAAAGATGAGCGGAAAATGCACTGGCTGATCTGCTGAGGGGTCACATAACATATGGTTTTCTTATTAAAACCTGTTACCCTTTAGCCAGTACTTACGCTGAAGAAAGTATGGCTCCAAAAAGAGATGTTTACATTACACTCAATGTCCATAAGATCAATTATTCACACAAAGTAAAGATCATGTAAGTATACTGCAAATATACTCTACAGAAATTGGACTTTATATCTGTGAATTATACAACTGGCTAGAAAACCACTCATTTTTAAGAAGCCGCACACACCACATTGAGCCCTTTGGAATGGAAAATGTCTCAACATTTTAATTTCATGACTTTATATAACATATTCGCAGTAACAGTACAGTTACATGATTCTCTCGCTCAGTGAATATTAATTCATAGATTTGCATCCAGTTTCATGGACTGTATGCACTGAAAGTACTCCTTCTGTGTTCTCAGATATGGTATTTAACAGCAGCCTTCCAGCTAAACTATTGGAGCCTTTACAATGCTGTTCACAAATGAAATGGTCAATAAAAAGGACTCTGTGTAAATAGTGAGTTGTGAAATATCTGTACTTATATTTCCAGACAAAGTGATCAAGTGTCTGTGTTGTAAGTGAGCATTTAAATGTTATTTATCACCTGATAGCTGGGAGAACAAAGCATGCCTTGAGTTTGAAAATTCCTTTTTCCTCTCCTGTGTCTCATTTTTAATATGGCTAATTCTGATCTGTAATCAACATTTGTATTGTATACAAAAGTGGACATTCTGCTAGAAATTATGGAATATGCTGCCTCTTGGTAACATTGAATATAATTCTATAATTATTGGAGTTATTTACATCCCCTTTAATCCTAGAAGAATTTCATTGTGTCTTATTACATTTTTATTTACTGAACAACACTGCCATCTTGTGAAAGCTAGAGGAAATACTACATGTACATATTTTATTTTTATTCAAACATGGACCATTTACTCACAAGGTATATCCCGGTATCCATTCTCCAAAGCATGGAAGTAGTTTATGAATTCTTTAATGGGAATCTTGAAGGTCTCAAACAGGCCCGTGTCCACAAAGAGCCTGTAAGAAACCTGGGACATAAGGAGATGGTCACTTGATCTGTGAAGGGGATCACAACCCTTTTTTTCATTCAAAATGTGTATTTAGAAAATCATTTAAATCCTCTGTTGACTCATAATAGTGAAAAGACTATTAATAGAGTAGTGACACTTGGGAAGTATACAGAAAATAAGGTTTAATAGAAGTTTATGGGAAAAGATAATCAGTAATAAAATAAACATTTGAAGTAAAAAATATATATATGTATATATATGTATTTCTGTTTGAAAATCAAAGTGCATACACTCCCCCAGTTAATGCGTTCAGCTCCTTTAGCTCCTAATTTCACACAGCACACAGGGACATGTCTTTGTTACTTTGAGGTTTTAATTAACTATTAACATGTTTCCATACAGTCATGCTGACTGCAAAATTTCTCACTATCCCTCGTTTACCTGGCTGAGGATACAGCCCGTCTTGCCATGTGTGTCCTCCACAAGACGGAAAATGGGAAAGTTCCAGTTGTTGAGTTGACTCATCAGAGGCTCCAGCCCCGCCATCTCTGGAGCCTCTGGGACTAACATGGGCTCATCCTGTCATGTAAATGTAAAAAAGGCCGACCACGCAGTGAAATTAGTGTAATTCCTAACAAGTAAAAAGCTACCAAAATGAGTGCGAATATCAACGAAGTAAAATATTCTCTCTTTATTTCTCAATCTGCGTAGCCTAAAAAGAAAATTAATACTCTCTTGTTGTCGAAAGAACCCTGTCTGCCTGCTGACCTGTGGCGATGGCAAAAGTGGATGCAGAATGATGCTCTCTGCGGGACACTCCCTGTAACCTTCCCTTGCTTCAGGTGGCTTCTTGCCTCCTTCTCCATCCTCCTCGTTCTGTGCAAAGTCGCTGCTGTCACTGTGGTTGGTCTCGTAGGTGCTGTCGTAGGTGCTGTCATAGTCGGATGAGGCTACTGCACGCTCATCTGGGAAAGAAATCGCACAGGTCAGAAGTAATTTTACTGAGTATTTGTGGTCAATTGTCTGACTAAAACAGATGTTTTATCAGTAGGGGTTGGGAACTGAAAATTTTGCTGAGCTGAAGCAGGGAAGCACTGATGGACTCACCTGGATGGGCTAGTCTATCTCCTTTGCCACCGGATTCTACCCTGTGGTTTAGTCGGTTGTTGAACGGCCTGCCACAGCTGACAGACACAAAGTGGAGACACAATGACACATTCGGAGCTTACACACTGCTACACCCTGATCATTATCTACAGCCTAACTATGATGAGTTCATTATTTTTCCACTCAAAGATGGCTGCCTCCATTTACATGCAAGTAAATATTCAGACACACAATTAACTTCCTATACTGCCAACTGCGTCATGAAAACAAAACAAGAGTGTGACTGCCTGTGTCTCACCTGCCACAGAGTGAAGGAGGCCGCCAGTGAATGGTAGTGGAGCTTGGGGCGCTCTGGCTGTGAGTTAAGGCTCTGTGATGGCTCTTGGAGGCCACAGAGAGAGGGACTCGCTCTGCCAGTGGCCCCGCCGGTTCGGGGAGCTGCACCGAGCAAGTCTTTATTGTGGGGCTGGAGACGGGCGTTCCCTGGGCGGGAGGAGAGGGGCATGGAGAGCCCAGAGGTGATATGCTGGAGGGAGCGAAACCTGAAAAGGATGTTGTTTTCGTCATTTAAAAAGCCAAGTCATTTAAAACAAGACAGCATGCTGAATGTGTGGGGTACAAGTGCAAACACACCGGCTCTTTCTAGTGATTTGCTGTAGAGGTGGTTGGAAGAGACAGAGACAGCACAGGAGGCAGACATGGAGCGGCTCTTTGAGATGGTCATCATCAACGAGTTGTTCCATGAATCGCTGCTTTGATGTGAGACAGTATCAGATAAAGAAATCACAATAAGCCCACAGTGTGTGAGGTGAGGGATGAGCGGCGTCACCTGTCCGGAGTGTGTTTGATGCTGGCTGAGCGGTCTCTGCGCACTGGGCCCGGCTCGATGGTCGGCAGCCCCGTAGCTGAGGTGGTCGTGGTCCAGGTCGATGAAATTCTTCTCAACAATCCAGGAGGCAGACTCCTCCTCAGACGCTGCAGTGTGGACGAACACAAACACTGTTTCACCAAATCACACGTTTTTTTAGGGCGATTGTTGACACGAGAGTTTAATTTCTATTTAAATCTCCCCTGCACTTTGTGTAGTCCTTGGTCTTGGCATTTTTAAAACTTTTTTAAAGCTGCTGTAGGCAGAAATCTCAAAAACTAAGACAGCAAATTTCCTGCATGCAACTTTGCAGCGGTCACAGAATGATAACATTTCACAAAAGCAGAACTCAACTTGTCAGGTTAAAAATGCCTCATTCAAGCTCAGGTGCAGGTCCAAAATGAGCTTCCTATCTGGCATTGGGTTGACGGGTCAAACACAAGATAGGAGGCATTTGAGATCAAAATGGGAGATCAAAATGGCTCACACTAAAGTTTTTAAAAAAGGGAAACAGTAAAACAAACATGGGGTCTAATCTCTAATAACCAGTTTATTCCTGGATTAAACTCACATGACATTTTGGCAACCTTTCATTGTATCATCAGATTTCAGTTCATGCTAAGGTCCATATGTGACATACAAAGTAATTATTCATGGGAAGAGTTCAACACCTAAAAACGGGAAAATGAAATATCAAGTCATTATAAGAAAACAAATCTACAGCAGGAAAATTAGATTAGAATATGGTCCCCCAGTAAATTTATATTCTGTACACGCTGAGCTCTCCTTCATTTGTATCTTTTCCAATAGGTAGTTTAAGTAATTAGACTTTAAAGCTGATCTTATAAACTAAACTTAACTTGATTTAGAAGTATCATATAACTGCATCATCGGACCATTGGTTCAGTCACAGGAAACTCCTGAATTCTGGCCGTCTATGCATTGTTTTAAGTATTGACCAAGCACATTAAAAATTAATAATAAAAATACCCCTTAAACAACAGCATGGATGATGATGTAACTTTTACGTCTGTTTCTAGTTCAAAGCCTGACATTAGGGCAGTGTCAGTGAGATGAATTACCAACTTTATCAACTAACATGCATGCAAATGCACAAATCCCCAGTGAGCTGAAAGCTTGCAGCAAGTCAGTGAGAGTCCCAGCACGAGACTCTGCATGAACGTTTGAGAGCACTCAGGCAGCTTTAGAGCGGCAGGTCGTTTTCCAGGTACACCGTCCCGCATTGCATCACACACTTTATTTAGTTGCCTTGCTGCCTTGAGTGCCTGCATACAATTTGAATCACTGGCCTTGTAAAATATTAAAAAGCTCTTGAGAAGCTTTTGCGTCATTAGAGCCACACTATGCCTACGTGAGGGGGGGGGTGAGGGTACCCCTGGGTGTGCACCTGTGTGCGCATCACTATGCAGTGACGCACACAAACTGAACCTAACAGCTGGTTCTGTATTCATGATCACACTGAAGCTACTGAAGCTAAAGAATGATGGTATCCTTCTTTAGACTAATTATGAACAGTACGTTTGGTTGACTTTTTCTGGTGGCTTTTTAAAAATGTTTTATTTCTTTCTTCAAGGAACCATTCACTCTCCAATCAAATATCCAAGCCTTTCTTGTGGTATGTGTTCCCATTTAGACTGTTTTGTTGTGAGATGTTGAGCTTTTGATAAATACCAAGAATTACAACGACAGCTAAAGAAATCACAGTTTCTGTCCATTTCTAATCCACACTTAAAGATGAGGTCCTAATGGTCCTAATAAAAAGGAATAGTTTTTGAGATCACGATTCCCCTGTGCTCTGCACTTTGAATGATTTCCATCACAATTTATTGAATCGAGTCAATAATTGTGTAATATATTACCAGATATGTTGCTATTTTTTTTTAAATTATTCATGAAAGATTCAAACCAACTTCTTACAGTGAATTTAACGTGTGAGCACATCACATGGGGCATTTGGTCATGAAGCATTGAGGCTGCATAATAAAAGACAAGCTTACTATGTCTGCCATAATATAGTAAGGAGTGAATGATTTCTGAGACAGAAAGGCTTTCGATGCAATTATATGCAACAATTCTGCAAATGTGAACTTTGGTTTAAATTAGTATGGAGATAAATTTATTGCTGACAGACACAGCTAACTTAACAAATAGAGAAAATGTTTCTTATCTCTTGCATATAATAAAACTACATATAGCTTGTGGCTTTCATAGCTCAATAAACGAGATGAATGGAATCCAACAAATACAATGGAATAACTTCAAAAGAAGAAGCATTCACCCACAAAGGATAAGAGGCTTATGCCTGTGAAGAATGCAAAAATGAATGTAATGCTGAATAAGACAACTCAAAGTTTCAATTGCTGATGGGCTATGATCCCAATCATCCACAAGATATCAAATTTAAACAGTAAGTAACGCTATTAATCTGTATTTATTAGGATCAGAAAAGACTAAAGAATTGTAACAAATACATTGATGTAGTGAGTGAATAACTGGGGTGTCTTTCATTAAAAAAAAAACCTAAAGCCATCTTCTCAAAAGACAAAAAAATTCAAATATAAGTATTTGAGGGTGTTGGTATAGGCTACGTCGCCAGTGGTTGTAATAAAGTAGAAAATTGAACTGCAATAACTAAAAAAATACCAGGAGGGGAAAACATTTTCTCAACCTTTATAAAAAAAACGACAGGAAATTGGTTGTGACGATATTTAGAATAATATATTAGTAAGTCAGTGTTCTGTGACACGGATTTATCGTCAGCTTAGGCTGGAAGCATCTCTTGAGTCATGTCATTTCAGTCCGTTACTTTGGAGAGAAAAAGCATTTCTTGAAATTGTAGAATACTTTTATAAGGTATTGGGTCCCAATTTTCTGGAAAGTGATGTTTTTGTTGGTGTTTTCAAATGCACTTTTTGACATTTTTAGTTTTACAAGATACCTCTACTCTAGTTCCACAACATTTAATGCAGACATCTCCTAAATTTAGCAGCATGCACCAAGACAATTTATGAATTCAGAAATGTCTTCACAAATCATCACTTGATCTGTTAGTAAAATTATACTGCAGTTTGGTTTACAAAAAGCTCTTTATAGGACGCCGGGGAACAGTTCCAAACCCAGATGTTCCTTTAACTCATGGCTCAAGATGTCTAACAAACACTGTTGTAGGATTATTTTTTTATTTGGATTCGGATAATAAGGTCAGGAGCTGTTGCCAGTGATTTAAAGCGTAATGATTTTCCATTTTGCATGACTGAGCTCTGTACAACAGAATATGCCCTGTGTGACTCCAGTCATTATTTATTCTAAATCAACCTATTTAATCACTCAATACTTCTTGTTACCTGATGGTAAATGTTCAATTGACTTCTTAATTTCAAAAGGACACGGAAATAAACAAGAATTCTTAAATACTAACCTTTGGAATGGCCAACCTCTCTGATTTTTCGGGCCCATCCTCTGAATCGGAGCAGGTGTGTGTGTCTGTGGGGATGCGAGGTCGGTGGAGCGGCTGGAGGCTGATCTGGGTGCTGAGGAGGTTGCTGACAGCCTTCAGAGAGCTCCAGGTGTTAGGAGGCAGCGAGGGGTCTGCCAGCAGGTCTGAGATCAAGCCATGGGCCTCTCCCATCACCGCAATGTCAACTATCATACTGGTGCCTGAAGACTGGGTGACGAAACGAGAGGAAAGGAGAGCAGAAGCAAGGGAAAAAATGTGAGATGAAGACGCCATCTTTTCTATGGGATATTAGAACGATGTTGGGAACAAATGTGACTCCACGGTGATTTACACAGCTATTTTATCAAAGGGAAGGAAAATGTGTGCGTAGTGGAGCCAGAACTGCTCCACATTGTACTCAGTGTGAGCGCCGTTTGTGTCTCTCTCCTACAACCATTCCACAGAACTTTACATCAACGTGTTGAAGAACTGTGTAACAGTCTGTTAGAGGGGAGTAAATAATGACAACATAAGACAGATCTACAGCAACAGATAAAGAGCAGCATGAGCCAGTCCTACAGCACTGCCCCCCCAATCTAAATTTAGCCCTTACTCATTCAACATATTGACTGATAAGCCCAGAGACTCATCTGTGTCAAAGGTCAGCCTCGTGTTGTTTCCGTAATGGAATCCATCATTCATGTTAGTATCTGCTAATCAGCTCCTTTAAAACTCTAATCCATTTCCTTTCACTACAAATCACGGGAAGCAACACGCACACGCAAACCTTTGTAGTTTGTCATATTTTTTTTTTGTGGTCCATATAAATTTGTTAGACCAAAATCAGTGCATTTTTAAATGTATGATATGTTTATAATACAATATACAAACTTACAGATAAAAAAACCCTGCAATAATTTATTCTGGGAGAATAACATGTAATCAAATACCTTTTTTTTTTAAACAACCACTTGTCTTGAAAAGTTTTTAACATTTCTGGTCAGTTTATTGAAAATATGTGAGACCCGAGATGATGCATGAAGAATGTATCCATATAATCATTTTTGGATTCCTCTATTTTATCCATCTTATCATTGAATAAGTATATCAGATAATAATATGAGAGATGTTATTTATTTTGATATAAATAGTATTAATTTTGACAAGACATTATATACATTCTACTTTTAAACAAAATCATATACCATATTGAATAACTTGTTTTGGCCAGACAGAAATATGCACTCTAATAAATCAGGTAACCCTTTGAAAAACCTTTAAGATGGTATCAATAAAAAGAATGGAAAAATGGAATTTAGTTCTACATGTCTGCTGTTTCTGTGGAAGCAGTGATGACATTTTGCGTAACATGATAATGGCGTATTTTTCAAGAGGTTGGATGGGCACCATTCACTGAAACATCTCATTAACAGAACTGTCACAATGTCTTCATGAATCTGACCAAAAGGGATTTTTTTGCTCTCATATAACCATCACATTGTATAACATAAACTAATATTGTTATTTTAAAACAATATAGCAACAACACAGTATTACTTTGTCATACAGCTTTAGATGTGAGATAAATATAATATTCATTCATCAGGCCCAAAAGGGAAGAATAGCCGACCTTATGAAATAAGTGATTAGTGCAGCTGAATCAAGGCATGTTGTTTTCCTCCTCTCCACTTCTGTTCCCCTCCTGCATCTCGCTCTGCCCTACTGTGCCAGCACTTGAAGCAAATGAGCTCACATGATCACTCCATCCATAAGCCTCCGATCTCCCATCTGCCTGCTCCCCTGAGGCTACAAAGCTTGACAACTGGCAGCAACCTCTGCTTTTGCCACATTGCTTTTAGACATGCCAAACTTCGTCACTGTGGCTGTCGTTTCCTTTTTAGTCTTTCAAACATTTGGAGCCTGCGAGTTGTGTACATTTCGACATGCTCCGCTATCACTTTCATACTTGTATGCTTGTTGTGGAAAGATGGCAGAAAATGGTGAGGACATTTAAAGTAAAATGAGAGCCGTCACTTCTGGATTGAGACAAAGTGACAGATGATTCCCACAATTTGCTTCTTTAAACAGATTGTATTAGCTATTCAAACACGTTAGGGCTCAGGGCTGTGATGAGTAAATGTATCAAGGACAAAGAACGACAGTTTCCTGGAAGAGCACGTGTTTTTATGTGTGCGTGTGAGAGGGTGCATGTGTTACCTCAACCTGAACAAAACCCATTAGACCACTCCAGAGCTTTATGACATCCCGCTATTGTGACATTCACCTATTACCTGGCAGTAATGGACTCTGTTTAGCTAATGTTAGGGAGTGAATGGGACAGTAGGAACATGAATCTGTGTGTACAGACACCAGCGAAGCCACAGATACACACATAGACGTGAGTATTGCACCTATTTTATGGTTCTGCTCTTGTTATTCTCGGATGTTACACTTTTTTTATAGAACGTGTACGTTTACTTTCAAGTTTAAGACACAGCTTCCAGTATGTATAGATTTAGAATAAAGACGCATCTGATATGAGACGCTGACTGCCACAATGGCAGAGACAGCAGAATGGCAAGGCGAGGGAGAAGGTTATTGATTCCTCCCAGCATAAAGGCCCACAGGATACAGCAGGGGGAGTGATGGTCAATGAGTAAATCAACAGTGGGCATAGGCAAATGTGTGTGTGTGAGTAAATACACACGAGCGGGCATGAATGTACCAGAAGTGCCCCTTGGGATCAGTCTATCAGGCTTTCAAGGTAATACAGTGGACGGTTCACAAAGAAAGATGGGTTGTAATCCTTCCACAAATGCAGTGCACCGTAACAGAAAACAATATCAAAGTCTGGCCACTGATGTACACAGATAAATAAAATAAGGTTTGTGTATATCAAGCTCCTAAGAATAGAAAGAGCTGATTCGTATCACTTCGTATCACAGCAGCGATGTCAAAAGGTAAACGGATGACAATTTACAGACGAGATAGTGTTTCACACACCGACGGTGGTCAGAACAATGATGACCAGTGTATTTTTACGATAACAATACCTCTTAATTCATTTAGTACACTAACAATAAAATTCCCTTTTATACCATTCAGGTTCAGGATAATGACCTGGACCTGGTGTTTCACCCAGTGGCCGCTGGCATCGGCTCTAGTCCTCCATCCGGAGATGGTATGAGCGGGTACAGAAAATAAATGGATGGAAGTTTGTGATCATTTGAGGTACTTTCCAGAAAGCTAAACTGAATTAACATTGGCGATAAGGTTAACTCTTGACCTCTGCAAACTTCCCTGATTGCCACAAATGAAAGATCTTAATTTTCTCTTTTAATTTCAAAGCAGTCTGTAGGGCAAAAAGAAGCAAATGCAAAGACAGAAATCTACACGTCACATCTATTGTAAAAGGCACAATTTGATTCCAAGAAATACATGTTCACATCATGGCCATCTTTTTTAACACCAGCCCAATATTCAATGCTAATTTCATGGTAACACGAGATAATAATGGTACTGACGGAAACTTTCTCCGTTAACAGTGGCTAACGTGTATTCTCCTCTCCTTGAGGCAATTATCTTTGCTCTGGTTTCCCTTATCTGCTGCTGCTCCCCTATCTGAGTTCTCCCTCTCTAACCCGGGTGCTCTCCTGAGACACAGTTAGGAAACATGGAGGCAGTTCAGGCATAAAGGCAGATGGTGAGAGCAGAGAGAGGGAGAGATAAAGAAAGAGGCAGTGACAGACACAGAAGAAAAGAGGGAGCTGAGTCCACAGGCAGGCCATGGCCAGTCAAGTGAAAAAGAGAGCAGCTCACTGTGGAAGACCAGCTGAGCTCCTCGACAGTCCGGTCTACAGTGCAACTACTGTAAATGCCTCGCTGCAGCAGAGTTAACCATTCTTCTCTCTCCATTTCTGAAGCTGTCAACTTAGCATGTCAGACGCAAAGTTCATGCTCCATTATATGTCGATGCTTAACAAATTATCAGTTGATATTGTATTTATGACAACTGGCAAATTATGACAACATCACATGGCATGTGAGTAGTGTATCGTTGTCTTTAGGGACAAGATACTATATTCACGTTTAGCTTCTGTGGGTTTTTTTCCATGATAGGCAAAGTCGTTTTTAACACCAAATCAATTCATATCAATCATTCACTTCTGTGTCAAAGACAAAAGTATGCTAACCTTTGTGTTGGAGTGAGATAAGGCTCAAATAACACACCCACCTTCATGTGGCCAGCTTGAAAAAAAAAAAAAAGAAGCTACTCACCTAAGAAACATAGTAACAATGACTCTCTCCACAGTGTCGTCACTGGTCTCTCACATGCGTAATTGACCTAAAAACTACGAGCTGAATTTAGAAATTGCTTCAAGTTGTCCTATTTTAACATTCCTCATCATCGCAGATTAAATTACTTGCCCGCTCTTCTCTTTGCGCAAAAACACACACATTCATCAGCATAAACCCAGTTTGAATCAAACCAATACCGAACCTGTTTGGGCAGACGTGCGTTGTCCTGATGTCGACCCGTGGTATTCTCTGAGTGCCTCCTCTGCATCATTTGCGTTCTCTTGTATCCTCTCAACTGTGAAACTGCAAACTAGATTCCTGTAGTTGTGCACTGTCTTACACTTTATTTCCTTTCGTCTAGCCCGGCTCAATAAGTAACACATAAAAGTCTCAGTTCAAAGCCGCTGACATTTAAAGTGGCACTTCTTCGCCTGCGCTCCTCTTCTCTCCTCCTCTCTCCTCTCCTCTTCTCTTCTGCCTCATGAACCTCCCTCCATCCTTTCACCCGCCCCTGCCTCTGCCTCTGCCAATTGCAAATATTCAGCAGTGGCTCAAGGATGAGAAGACTTGCAGTACTTAGACCTCAGTTATATTGAAAATACCTGGTTGCCAGGATACCGCGGGACAAAGATCAAAGCGACTTGTCTGTGGACCATAAAATAGTTGTTCGGGGCTCCGTTAACCACAGTCATCCTATGCTTACAACTTGTCGAGTATTTCCGGTGATAGCAGCTGACATGACAACCAAGCAGTGATCGAGAAGCATTATCGGAAAAGCCCCCTCTCCACCAGGAAATTGGGATCTACATTGATTCGGTCAAATCAGTGTGGTTTATAGAGCAAGGAAAAAATCAGGTGCATCTGGATCCCAATGTTAGCATAGAAACTGTTGTAACTAGGTAAAACCTGAGTGTTAGTTCTTTGTTTGAACTTTTAGCATCTTGATGGGGAAACGTCAAACTGAGGATGGTGAAAATATTTTATGATACAGTAACTTTAGGTCAGAGGTGTCCAAATTCCTTGAATACCAATCTAATGACCCTCTATGGTATCTGTGGAAAGAAAACCTTTTCTACCAGGACCTCACCTCAAAACCTGCATGGTCCAAACCATCTATTCCTAAGATCCAGACACTCCAGGATACCCAAAAATGCTTTTTGTACACACCAGTCAAGGGTTCTTTCACAGCATGATAAAGATTTGTTCCCAAAATAGACAAGTGGTGGTTCATTCATCTCAAGTAATGTGGCATAGGAGGTTTACCTTCTATGTTTTTTTTTTCCTATGGAAAACATTAGGCCTTTTTTTCCCTAAATTTCTGTTTACTCGAACCTTGCTAAGCTTATTACTGCTTGCAGTTGCTTCACTTTCCATCCTAAATGCAACCTTTTAGAGCCTCTGACTGCGGCAGATGTCACTTTTTGGTGTTATATTTTTGTCAGTGCCAAAAGGTTTAAAGCTAATGTATATTTGGGGCATGTGTGTCTGATATTTGACTGGTATGGGCAGCAATGTTTCACATAAAGCAACATTGTGAGTCACTTCAAACAATGTAACAAAACTGCATGAACGAGTTGGTAAAAACACAGCAATTAACATTCACAACCATTCACAACTAAATGTGTCATGTCCTTATTGATTTGTGACCTGGATTTGTAAATTCAAAAAGAAAAAAAACTTAAAAGCAGATGGCGGGTACACAAACTGATAAAAATGGAAAGGCTTTGATTTCATTTTGAATATGCTGCACAAATCAAAATCATTGTTGGTTGCTTGGTTAAGCAGAAGTAGATGAAAATAGGGTAACCTTAATGTTGCAAATGAAACAAAGGAAAAATATTTAAACATTTAGGCAACATTCAAATCAGAAGAGACAAATTATGCCAGAGGCACACACATCCCTCCTGCTCTTTTCTTATGGTGTGCACTGACCTGGGATCTGCTTAGAGGTCTCTTGTAGTCCCACTCTGGCTGTCCCAGGAGCTAGGAGGGAAGCACACAAAAAGAAGCCACTGTCAAAGGTCGGTTCACCCCATGACATTATAAAGCCCTGTCTGAGCACAGGACCTCTTTACGTCTTTTTCTATCGCTTGTGCGTCTCTGACCTCTCCTCTATCCATCTACATCACCTCATCTAAAAATAAAACAAGAACAGGCGCTGCTGATGAAGAAACAGAAAAGGACACATCACCCTCAGTGCTGGAGGGCTGATCCACATATGCCTCCCCTCAGCCCTCAGCCACCATATGCGTTGTTTCTGCTCTCTCTGTAGGGATTTTTGATTTGTTTTTAATAACAGAAAAGTTCAGAAACGCATTGAAGTGGCTTTCAGGCGACTCTAAGTGACAGTAAAACTGTCTATTTGTTTAGTTGTGTGTTTGACTGATATGTGAAGTAATAACACAGGGATTCATTTAGATAAAAAAAAAAACATCCAGAAAGAAATGTTAAATTCAAATGAGGTCATTCTTGAAGTTGTCACTTCAGGACTCAAAGAGAGCACAAAAATGACGCAATGTGGCATCAATCGCATGAAAGGTACTCTCCTCCTCTCCTCTGATTTGTATTTCACACTGAAAACGAACAACAAGTGTAGTGATGAAGACCTGATATTACACCACAGAATGACTGTCGCTGTCGGGTTTTGCTTTCATCCATATATTTTCTATGGTATTGCACTTGTAACCATGAGACGTTTCAGGCAGTCCTAGATTGCTGTTCAAATTTAAAAACTTTTTTTTAAAACACATTGTCACCCAGAGCAATGGATAGAAACAAACAACCATCCATCTATTTTCGTGACCGGGTGGATAGGAACAATTAAATGAAAATTATAAAAATTCCTTAATATGCTTTTAAAAAAAGTTTTTAGCCCTACAATTTATCTGGGGGAAAAAAACAGTCGTGAACTCATTATGTCCCAAGTCCTTATGTCCCGGGTACTGCGAACGACAGATTCAATTCAATTCAGTTTTATTTATGCAGCGCGAAATCAGACAAATGTCATCTCAAGGCATTCCAAAGAAAGTTCAACTGAAAAATAATCATAATCCAATCCATTCAAATTCATTCAATTCCAAAAAAGGGGCCTTTGGTATTAACTGGATGGAGGGTTAAGAGGACAGTAAAAAGGGGCAACAAACACCAAAGAACAACCCCAGTTGCATCTGCTAAGAAATAGAAAACCATATCAATAACAATCATGTGACAAGCACATGGAGAACAAAGGAAGAAAAGTGAGGAGAGGTGCATCATGGGAGGACCCCCAGCAGTGTAGGCTTATTGCACTATAGCTACGAAATGTTTCATTGTCACCTGCCAACTTTTGGAAACTGTAGCTCTGAATCTTGTAGAAAATCTTCAAACTGAGTAAGCTTTTCATTGCTGTAAAAACCACCATGTAGTTAGGCGACACGGTAATGCCTATAATCAGCCAACGGTTCAGGAGTTGTACTGGTAGCTAATTAGAGTTGGTTGTTAAGTTAAGGCTTAATTATATTAACTTTAAAAGTCGGTGGCACCTAGGCCATCAACAGACGGATAAAATATAGTAAGTGATGATTCTGGGGAAACCTCCTGTGAACAATCTAGTTAGCACCGGATCTAAAACACACATTTTTATTGTTTCTATATTTAAATACCTCTGAAGCTCCTACACTTTTCTCTGTCAATGATGAATAGTTAGCAGTTAAATTTTATTGGGCTTTCTTGGATCCTTCCAGTCTAATCTACATCCCTCTATGGGGGAACATTTACTGTCCAGCTTTCTTGTGCTCTAATGTAAAGCCATTTAAAGCTGTGAATTACCAAGTAGTCCAGCCTCTTTTGACAGATCAACTTCTTTTTCAAAGGAGCAACGTCGTCTACTGTTAAATGCATTTAAATTGTAGTGCTGTCAGCAAAACAAACAAGTGGTTTGGGAATAAACTTTAGGTAGCCCTCTGTCGTATTTTAATGTGACAGTGTTGAAAATAATAATGGGATTGATTATTTAAAAAGTTTTTTTGTTTCTGTACACTGGTCCATCAACTTTCCTCCTCTGCACTATGATGCACAAGAAAAACTGCATTTTCCCCTGGAGAAGTTCTGCATTCTACATATTGTAACAATTATATCTTACCACAATAAATAGCTAAAATATTTCAGTTAATAAATACCTAATAATATTCTTATAATAACATTCACTATGGGCGTTGTCCCATACAGTGAAATACAGGTTCTGAGGCTGAAAAACTTTTATCTCTTATATCTCTTTAACTCTTATCTGAACACTTCATCTGGCATTTATATTTACTTTACCCACTTTGAATTTTTTTTTTCTCGAAACTGAATAAATGTTGTGAAGGGAGACAACAGAAGCTGTATTATTTTTACATCTGAGAAAAATTCAAAGGCTGACAGGACTTTGATTGTTCAGTGATCTTGCTCCCCAGGTATGAAGAAACCCCCCGAAAGCCAATACTTTGGAAAGTTTTATGCGTTGCTGAAATGTTGCAGAATAAAATTCAGAGAAAACTGGATGCCATTACCTTTATGTTTGTTTATAGATGAACCTGGATATGGTATTGTATCTATTATTTGAAATTAGATGCAACTTAAATAACTAAAACAACATTTCCTTATAACAGGAACTCCAACTATATCTAATCATCTAATTCATTGTAAGTCATTCATTTTCTTGGGATTACTTTGCTTTTATGGCAACAAATGTTATTTTTATCTCAGAAATAAGAATTTAAAAAAAGAAATAGCTACAAAATGCCTATTATTTATAGCACTAACACAACAGTTATGCGTATGAAACACGGCCTGTAGGGGGATGTCATTAAAAATGAAAAGAAAAGGCTTGATAGAGCTACCGTCATCCACTGAAGATGAGTTTGCATCTTGAATGGCAGATGAGATCATTTGTCTAATACCATGGGTTTGTGTTTTTAACTTGAGTCACCGTGGACCAGATCAAGGTTACAAGACTGAACGACGTGTATTTCTTTCATTATGTTTACTCTGAATATAGTAAATTGACAGAAATACACTAAATTATGACAATTAGAACAGAATTAAAGGAGGGACAGTTTTCCCACCATGGTGGGAATCAAATGTGAAAATCCCTTCTTTCACAACGCTTAAGCTTCCATCTCTACCACAAGCTATTAAATCTTCTGTGCTGTCCCTTGATAGCCTCCATTACTGTCCAAATACAGTTTTCATATCAAGTCTAGAAGAGGCTGAGAAATCTGCGGTCTAATGTACTTCTGAGTCACATAAGCTTTGACAGCTCCATCATTCAGCCGTAATTAGACGGCCTCTAAATTCACTGATACAGTTTGTTCTACAATGGAAGGGCAGCGTGATGTGGAAGCTGTGATGCTCCTCTCACACAGCAGAGCCCCTTTTTTTATTGCTGATGGCAGACACACACGTGCAGGAACACGCTGCACTCTGCAGAGGGAGCTCTCTTTGTTGGTTTGAGCAGTTTTAGCCCATTGATGTTTGTGCTACGCAGAGCATTTTAAAAGGATTTAGGTCTGCTACTTTGACCTTTTACCAGTTTCCTCTTCAATTTTTTTTCAGGACACACCATGCTGAGAAGTGTTCAGTAAATGGTTGATTTGTTAGTTCCTTACTGACACCATGCTGTTTTATCTCCTCAAACTGTTAATGTTCATACTGAAAGATATTTTTCAAATTTATTATTTGTGTTTATGCAATACAGATACAGGCATTTCTTTATTCAAGTGCCTTTTTTGTACTTAAGTGCTTCAGAGTTAGGAAATCAGACAGGTATAAAGAGAGCATGGAAATTGGGTGAAAAAGCAGCAAATGGCAAAAAAACAACACAAACCTATATGACACAATATTAGGATTTAGGCCTCAATATTTTTGTTCTGTGCAGCTCAACTGCACAGTTATGTTGTTCATTTATTTATTCAGTAAACTCACTTGACTTCAATTCAATTCCATTTTTTTCTACACATAAATTATTTTTACATCCAAACCCAGCATGGACGGGACATACAGCAGGGCTGAGTTTAGCTGTGTAAAGTAACATAGAACACAAAGTTCCCTACGATGTGGTTCTCATTCACCCACTCACACATACAGAACTTTTTTTATAATGTACAGTACAGTATGTGCTGTTTTTTGTTTGTATCGTAATGTTTTTTTTTTCCCCCAACCGCACCCCACTGTGCAAATTGAGTGAATACGGCGTTCAGTATCTCACCCAAGGGCACGTTGACACTTAGAGAGCTGGCAAGTAAGCTCTACTTTCCAGCTGGAGGATAGCCGCTACCAGCTGAGCCACAGTCGCCTCAAATTATCGAAAACAGAAGTTGTTCCCACAACAAATACAAACAATAGGAAGCTTTCACTGTTGGTACATAGAGGGATTTGCATCGAAAATGAGAAACAGACAGCACAACAAACAGTAACTGGACCTTAGAATTTAAAGTAAACAGTTGCTCAAATAATTTCATCGATCAACAATAAGACTGCCACTGTAAACCAAGTGAGCTCCAGTGTTGTCCACATGAATTAATAAGTGATTACATGTGCCCTCAAAATAGGATTACTTTCTCTAAAAAATTCTTTATGTCTAATTGCTAAAGGAGGGAGAAACATTATACCAGCAGTGATACAAAATTGCCACCTTAAAAATAATAGCTTAATCCAATGAAACTGGATGACAGAAATGATACACTGAAATTCATTATGTAAAGCGCATGACAAATGTTTTGTTTATCTTAATTACTTCTAAATTAAGTGCAGAATTGCATATATTTACCATCTCATTATGACAGCCCAAAATGAAAATAAAAAGGAAATTCTTCAGCAGGCCTGCAGGGAGCTTGTTTTGCAACATAAAATCTCAGCATGAAAACATGGTACTTAAGGTAATCCTCACTATTCGTTACATTGAGTTTACGGCCTTTGGAGGTGTTTCGGGGCACAAACGCATTAACCCCTGATTTGTATTGAAA